AGCCAGCTGGCGGCTCCCCACTGCGGTCACGGCCCTGCCAGGGCTGCCCTGTGACTGCTGCACTGCTGGCCACAGGGCACCAACGAGATTCTCCGGATGTACGTCGCCCTGACAGGTCTGCAGCATGCCGGCCGCATTTTGACCTCAAGGATCAAGTAGGTAGCATTCCCCGTCTGCTGCTCAGGTCCCGCCTGCCCATCGGAGTCACTCCAGGGTGGCAGGAGAAAAGGGTTGCCCTGTCTAGGGAATTGGGGGGTCTTGGCTGGCAAGTACAGGGCCCTCACCTGTGGGTGCCTGGGGCAGCTTGCCTAAGGAGCCCTTTCTGCCCCAGCCTGCCTGGAAGTCCACCTCACCCCTTGCGCACACTGGGAAGCTGGCTTTCTAGGACCTGAGGAGTGGGTGATGTTTGTTTTCTAGCTGCCAGCCTCTTGCCAGGACCGGGTTGCCTCTGCTCTTTACCTCTGGCCCCCACCCCGTCCTGGCGCAGAGCAGTTGGGCACAGCTGCTGGAGCCGGTCCAGGCTGCTTTTTGCAGACTCCGGAGTAGGGAGGCAGCCACAGGCAGCGAGCGGCCTCTGCTCATGTGCAGCAAACACGTATGGCTCCCTGAGGAGGCGACTGCTCCCCGGCAGGCAGGAGTTGGCCAGGAGCTGGAGGAGTCATGACCCATGTTGCCAGGCAGTGGGGCCAGCAACCCTCAGGCAGGCACTGTGTGCTTTCTGCAGCCAGCTCAGACGGGGCAAAGTGACCGCCGTCATGGAGACCATCAGCCAGAGACTTCGAGACTCTCTGGGCCGAACCATGGACCTGGGGCTGGCAGGCGATCTTGGCATCATACACCCCAGTCTTGTGGTGAGTGGGCCCATCAGCTCCCTCCTGCCAGGCTCCCCATCCCAGGAGGACTCAGGTGCCTGGCCATCTCTGTCCACCCGGGCCCTCGACCCTTTCCTGTGGCGTTAGGTGGAAGCTTACACTGGTGGGCACAGGTGCTGAGCTGAGGCCCGTGTTCTGGCCTGTAGGATAGCGCCAGCAAGCTCGAGGAGAATGTGTATTACTTTGGCCGGACCATCGAGACATTGCTGCTCCGCTTTGGCAAGGTAGGCCGGGGCCTGGGACCTCTGGCTTGACCCACTCCCATGAGGCCTCTCCTTGCCAAGTACCACTTTTGGGACCAGGAGGGGAGGGGAAGCTGACCATTCATGTCTGCCAGTCCCAAGGCCTAGCAAGCTGTTCAGTTGGGAGCCCCTGCCAGGAGAGCTTTCTGTAGGATTCTCCCCCACACTTTCCTGGTGAAGAGGGCTCCTGGGTGTGGAGGAGGCCTGGATCTGGGGGCCTATGGACTCCTTGTGCCGAAGGGTCCATGAACACATGGAGTGCCAGCTTCTGGTCCCAGCTGAGTTTCTAGGAGCTGGTGTGGCCTTGCCGCTTGAGGGGACATTATTGGGAGATGGGCCAGTGAGACTCTGGCTCCAGGGAGGGACCATGTGCGGTGTCCGGGTAGCATGTCTCCACTCAGAACCTGTCCCCAGACCCTCGTGGAGGAGCAGCTGCTGCTGAAGCGGGTGGCCGACATCCTCATCAACCTGTACGGCATGACGGCCGTGCTGTCGCGTGCCAGCCGCTCAGTCCGTGTCGGGCTGCGGAACCACGACCACGAGGTAAGCCTGCCCTGGGACTGCTGCTGGTGGCACTTCAGTGAAGCCAGTGGCTACGGCAGGAAAGGGGCCATCACAGGCCATGGTCCTGGTGGTGGTCACCAGGGGCTTAGTCACAAGCGGATACACAGGTGCCACTCGAGGCCAGGGGCTGCTGTGTCAGCTGCAGGAGGCGGGCAGTGCCCTCCGTCTTCCTGCCTGGGAAGAGGGGAGGTGGTAAACGGCAGGGCTTCCTGAGCCCAGCGCCGTCACCCCCTGCCTGCCTCTCAGCTCTCGCCCTGCTGGAGCCCGGCAGGG